GCCAGCTGTTTCTGTTTTCTGATTTCTCGGGAAATAGAAGAGTGAGCCCTTAGCTCCTGTGTTGGAGGATTGTCCGAATGGTGAACGGCCAGTGTCAACTCCACCTGCTCAACCACCCTCGTGGGAAAAGGACCAGTTTCCAGATGCAGTTCATGCTGCCACAGCTCAAGGATACCATTACCGTGGTCACACCCAGCCCGGAAACCCAGCCCTTGCACACATGTGATCCCTTCACTCACCACAGTTCACATCTTTGGGCACTGAGGACTGCCCAGCATGATGTGTGGGAAAGGGGTCGTAGCCATGGAGAGTAGGCCGTGGGAAGAGCAGAGGGGTCTGCATTCTCTCTAGAGTGGGATGGTGTCACCTGCTGGACAAGTCCACCAGCCATTCTCAGCTCATGCCAACCAGTCACTGGGCACTCGCCCCTGCTGCCCAAGGAAATGGGTCCATCTCCAGAGAGAAAGCCAGGAGTTTCCAAGGTTGATGTCAATGTTTTGAAAACCAGCACAACCCCGACCAAAGAGCCGTTGTACCCAGAGACCCCTGCGGCTGCCAGCTGCCGAGATGCCGTTCTGTTTGCCAGCCCACCAGCACCTGATGAACCTCGTCCCAAGGTAAGCTCACAGTTCACCCGTACCCTCATCAAAGGATGAGGCCCAGGAAATTCAGCAAATACCTGGGATTACCCGATGTGTTTCCTGAGCCACTGTGTAACCTGGAGCCATTTGGGTGCCAGCCTGCGGTGTGGGTAGCCACATTGGTACCTGGCAGGCACACGGGGGTCAGACATGGCATCTGCACAGTGATGTCCCATCAGCTTTAGAGAACTTGACTTGGAGTTTCCCAGGGACTGGAGCTGCTAGAGCTGATGGTCTCAAGAGGCCCACCTCACCCTCTGCGCTGGGGCAGTGCGCTTTCAGTTAGCTCCCATCGATCACGATTTCCAGCAGGAGCTGCTGTGGGCAGGGCAGAATCTGCTCTTCCCTGCCTGTCTGCTCTAGCCATGGTCAGCTGGTGTGTGTCAGACACCCCGGGCAGGCTGCACGCAGACTCCTCTCCCCTCCCTCTCCCTCTTCCCATGGCAGAGCCTCTTGACGGCAACGCATCTCCTCTCATACTTCAAGAGTGTCATGTTGGCTCATGGGCCTGGCTTATAAAGCTCCACTCTAACCACTGAAGCCAACAAACTCTCTTCCCAAGGCTCCCACGAGCACCCCGAGGAGCCCGCGGTTGGATTGTGTCCTGTCTCCCCTCTCTTAGTTTCAGCAGCGTAAGACCTCGGGGTCTGAGCTCCTGAGGTCACGAGAAAAGTAGTGAATGTATGGCTACAGCCTCCTCCATGTCTGGAGTTGTCAGCAGGAAATGCGCAGTGAAGTTGGCTCTGCGCCATCCACTGTTGCTGCCTGCTCAGTCTTCTGCGCTTACTCATCACTGAGTAAAATCCATGTGCTGGGGAGGGGTTCCCACAATTAATTTGCAGGGCATCCAGGAGAGCAGGAAGATGTGAACTCTGGGCCACCTTGGGACTCCCAGAAGAGGGAGCTCCCTGGGAGGCAGATGGCCCTAGAGGGTTAACAAGGGGTGGAGTCATGGTACTTCCTGTTGGACTGGAACCCTGAATTTATGCGGATGACAAGACTGCTGATGCTTTAGAACTGCTCTCAGAAATGTATTCTTAAGTTGGCCCACATGTGTCTAGGGAAAAAAGAAAAACCAATGCTTCCTTGCAGGTCCTGTAAAATTGCGATCTTGCAGAAAGGATATGTGGTTCCTATTGCCAACTACCAACAGAACCCAGTTCAAGGGAGATGGTAATATCGGGCATGGCCACTAGAGGGGAGTGTGGGAGCTAAGCTGAGGCAGCAGGCCTTTACTTGGATGGATGCTCTGGATGTGCAGGGTCTGCGTTGGGCACAGCCACTGACTGGTCAGTCCTGGGGAACACGCACAAGGGGCTGCGTGGGTATGGGCCGCAGAGAGTCGGGCTGGTCGTAGGTAGCACCAGGCACAGGGGCTACATAGCAGGAAAGGATGTGGGTAATGATGCAGCCTGGGAAAGGGGATTTGGACTGTGACTTGGGGCCAGCCCCTACCTCGGCTCCCTCATGAGGACAAGGCACTTCTTGGGGGCTTTTTCAGAAGGGGGATTGTGGGGGTTGCAATGCTCCCTGGGGCTCCCCTCCCCTTCTTATACCCAGATCCCATTGTTGGGAGCCATATACATTATAGCCATATTAAAGCCATTTTTGAATCTAGATCTGGCTCAGTGAAAAGTACCAGCTAGCAAAGTGCAAGGGAAACCAATTTTTAAGACACCCTGCGGTTTACAAGTTATCTAGCAACCCACCCAGCTCTGAGCACACTTGGTGCTTGTAACAGGATGTTGGCTTGTGCCCTACCTGCTGGCATCCTCTTGTGAGCATAAGGGGGTCTGGGAAATAGCTACCCAGAAAGAGTTGTGAACCATGCCCGCCTCTTGCAAGCATAAAGGGCTTTTAGAAATAACTGTCCAGAAAGAGCTGTGAAGCCATGTCCTGGACCCTATTTCCTCTTTCTCCTCACCCATAGATCCTGTTTTGCAGACTATAAAGCCTTGTGTGAAAATAAAATTTGGTCAGCTTGATCAGACATTCTGTCTTGCTGTCCATTCCTGTGTCTCTTGTCCTCCCATTCTCTCCTAGGTTGGCTGTGACCCCTGTTGACTGTCCTGCTGGACGGGACACCCCATAGCCCTTTCCATGTCAGCCTGGGGCCTCTTGCCAGCCATCCACTTTCCCAAGAATTTGCTTTCCTGTAGCAAAAAGAATTACTTTTCCATTCCCAGGCATGATCCAGCCCCTCACAAGCTCTGCCCCCTGTGGTACCCAAAGGCCCCCACTCCTGTACCCCGTCTCTGAGTTTCCACTAAGCAGATACCCGTGTGGGGGTGGGGGTTGGGAGAGGAGGAGCCAGGCTCAGTGTCACCCCATATGTTTATCTCTCTCTCTCTTTTAAAGATTCACTTTCTTTATTGGAAAGACAGATTTATAGAAAGGAGAAACAGAAACTGAAAAATCTTTGTTTCCCCAAGTGGCCACAATGACCGGAGCTGAGTGGAACTGAAACCAGAAGCCACAAGTTTCCTCTGATCTCCCACATGGGTGCAGGATCCCAAGATTTTGGGCCATCCTTGATTGCTTTCTCAGGCCACAAGCAGGGAGTTGCATGGGAGGTGGAGCAGTTGGGGTACGAACTGATGCCCATATGGGATCCCAGCACGTGTACAGAGATTTAACAACTGAGCCACCGTGCTGGTGCCCATCCCAGGTTCTTGTAAAAGCTGCAGAGTTGGTACTGCGTTCTGCTGAACCTGGGTGAGAAGGGGGAGGATTTCTGCACAATCGTGTGATTCCAAGAGGCTGTTACTGCCCACCCCTGTCTCTGCCCACTTGGGGCACAAGCAGATGACAACCCACAGAGAGCCACCTCTGTGTGCTTGAACACTTACAGTGTCAGAATGTGCCCCTCCCCCACCCGTTGCATCTTTTCTCACACTGATTTCCAACTAGATCTCCAAGTAGACATAATCAAAATGAGCAGACACGTGGGGACACACACACACCAGCTTTATTCTTGCTAACAGCGCTTGAGACATAGATTAGACAGGTGGAATAGACAGCCCTAAAATAGACTCCAGAATTGGGCTGATCCACAGAGCCCCAGGCTGCCCCACACCATCAACCAACATCCCCATCCCCACCCTCACACCAGCCCCTGTCACTGTGCACTTGAGCTTGGTGGTACCCTGTCCACAAGCCCTCCCCCTGCCGCAGCGAGAGATGTCTACCCCAGAATAAGACACAAAACAGACCATGCGTGTGCACCTGCAGGTGCAGAGGTCCTGTGTCCTGCCGAGGATGTCCTGCCCAGCATCGGCCACTGTGTCCTAAGTTGACTGATCCCACTCCTCTGTGGAAAGCGAGAGTGGGAGTGGAGAGACAAGAAGCCCTTTCCTCCCTGTGTTTTCAAGGGTGATGTGCAGGTGCTTTTAAGGCAGTGGGTGTCATCAGATTCCCTGGGAGGAGTTGGGAATCCATTGCTCTTATGCCTTAGCCATCCACCCCCTGCTTCCCTGGGCCCTGGGTTCTCCACGCCCCACCCCTGCTACTTCCGGTCCCTGCCCCCTCGGTTCTGTCTGGACTTCAGCTCCCCAGTGGAGTCTTACAGCTGCATTTGCTCCCCTGTGCTTTGATGCCTACACCCCACATCAGATCACGGGTGACTTCAGTGTGGAAGGGTGAATCGGCTGCGGCCCTGGGTGGGGAATCAGGGGAGCAGCACTATGTACTGGCTTGCTTCCTACCTCTAGGGGCCTCCTCCTCAGCCCTAGCTGGGGTTGCAAAGCAGCCCACAGTCCTGGTTGGTACCTTGGGGGCCCTCTTGCCCCAGCCTGATCACAAGGCATGCTGGTGGAGTGCCCAGCACCAGGCACCCTGTGCTTTCCACACCCGGGCCTGCCCATCAGCACCACTCTTGGTGCAGCCTGGGCTTTACATGGGCCCGTGAGAAGGGCTGACATTTCTGCTTTCCTCCAGCCACCCTGCCCCACAAAGGGGCAGATGGGCAGTCAGCACCTCCCTTCTCTGTGTGGACTGTGCCCCGCTCCTGCAAGGCAGAAGCAGCTGAGGACAACTTGGGTTCAAGGCATTTTATCTTTCTGACTTGGTATGCACAAGTGGACTCCCTGGAGCTGGTCCTGCTGGCCCCGGGATCCCCCTTTCCTGTCCTCCAGGTGATGACAGCCACCTCTGAGGGCAGCAGTGAGGAGACAGCTTGTTTAGCTCTCAAGTTGTAGTTTCACTTCTATTTTCCCCGTTTGGGTGGAGCCTGCTGGCTTCCCAGCCAGGCCCCTCTGCAGTCCGGGGTGGGGGGAGAGTTGCGGGGGGGGGGGGGGCTTCCTGCTGGGGCAGGGCACAGGCAGGAAACCTGGGGAAATCAGAAGTGAGCAGGCTGTTGGCAGGAGGGGACAGCAACAGCTCTACCAGGAGAGTTCTTAGCCACTTCCTTAGCTGTCTGTCAGTCCGCAGAGCAGCTCCAGTGTCCTCAGCTTCTGTGGTTCCTGGGGACTAGTGCAGATTCCCAGGAGATCAGGTAGGTGGGCTTAAGTGCCCGGAGTGCGCCCGGAGTGCGGGAATGGGCTGTGTGGGGCAGCTGGGCCGTTTCGAAACTAGCAGGGGGCAGTGCGCTGTGAACACAGCTGGAGAATGTGTGACTTTCTCATTCAGCAGCTTCTACTCCTCTGGCCAGCTGGCCAGCAGACAGGGCTGTCCGGGTGACGGGTGCAGGACTGATTTCCTCGCGGCCTCCGAACTTTCTCTAGGGTCCCTGCCTGCTCCTTCACGCAGGTCACGGCCATCAAGGAAGCTTAGAAAATAGCAAACATGGGAGGAAGCGCTTTGCCCATTTTCCAGCTTAGGGCGTGGTGGGTCTCACCCTGGCGGCAGGACCAGCCCTGGACTGACTCGGGTCTGAGCTTTTCTCTGGAAGAGAGGGGCCCGTGGGCATCAAAGGCTGGTGCAGGCTCAGGGGCTTTATTTTCACTCTTAACTTCCAGATGAGTGGCACTTCTGACATAGTCACAGAAATCGTCTCTTTTCCTGTAGTGGGCTCAGAAATAACATGGCCTCGTCGTTTTGATTTAATTTTTCACGAAGAAACATGATTTTGTTCATAAAATTTCCAATGACACAGAGGTAGACAAGAGAAAGAAATGCTGTCGCTCCTTCCATTCTCAAGTCCTGCGATGTCTTGGATGTGCCTTCCGTATCTGTGCACTTAACATAAATAATTGGCTTTGCAAATATTGAGGGTGCTTCAAAAAATGGAATGAAAAAATAAAGTTTGGGTTTTTTTGATGCAGAAAATATTTGAAATCTGTATGTACAGGTGTCTCCCGGAAATTCACTGCAAATACAGGTTAGGAAAAAACTATGCATGAAATTCCAATGAACTTTTGCAGTCCACTGATAAAATTTACATATTCTCCATCAGTAATAAATGGGACTAGACTATGGGTATAGGGTCTGCATTTTTCATTTTCAATTATTTTAGCAGTGGAAATCTTAGCAGTCTTTGTGTTTATGTGTAGCTCTACCTCACTCTTTCTAACAGCTACATGACGTTGCTTGCATAGGATTTATACATCCTTATTGTCAAACGAGTACCTGTGGATGAAATCTAGACTCTCGGTTGTTCACTTTGATCAACAAGCCATAGTGATGGTTGTGCTTCTCTCTCGCTGTGTCTCGCATGTAGACAAGTATTTATCTTATGTCAAAAACCAATAACAGGTCTTTTTGTTTGTTTCAAAGATTTACTTAGTTTTAGTGGAAAGGCAGATTTACAGAGATAAAGAGATACAGAGAAAATAATCTTTCATCTGCTGGTTCACTCCCCAAGTGGCAGCAGTGGGTCTCCCACGCGGGTCTTGCAGGCCTCTCTCTCGGGTCTTCCAGGTCTCCCACATGTGGCGCAGGGTCCCAAGGCTTTGGGCCATGCTCAACAGCTTTCCCAGGCCACCAGTAGGGTGCTGGATGGGAAGTGGGGCTGCCAGGATTAGAACAGCTGCCCATATGGGATCCTGGCACATGCAAAGCAAGGATTTAGCCACTAGGCCACTGTGCTGGGCCCCAGCAAAAACAGGTCTTGAGGCAAGGTTAGAACATTTACTGGCTGGGTCAGTGTTTTTAGTAAGAGCAAATGAGGGAAGCCATCTCTCCCCACTTGGCCAAACTTTGCGACTGGTAACATGTGACTTCTTGTTTCCATTTGTGTTTTCTGGTTGCATGGGCAGCTGGGGAGTTTGTGTGTGTTTAACAACCACTCAAATCTCCTCTCGCTAGTTCATTCTTTGCCTGTGTCATTCAGTTTAGGCATTTGGCCTCCTGTTCAGGACGTGGGAGGATTTGCTTGATATTCTGAAAAGCAGAAGTACGCTTTCCTCATCCTTTATCTTCGCAGTAGTCATGGCCATATTTAATACTCATTAGGGTTTGGTTCTTTAAATGTATATTCTTGTAGGAGTGTTTCTGAGCTCAGTGCTACAGTTCCGTGAATCACCCATGAAGCCATCATGTCAGCCACCGTGTGTTTGTTTCTCAGCCTAGAGTTCACATTCCTGCTTTGTTTAGGTTGTTGGGAGGCCTTCAGCACCTTGGGCTACCCTCCGTCCCTGTGCAAGTTTGCCTTCTCTGCCCCTTTGTTGTTTGGCATGCTACCGTGGCCTCACAGCCCACCTCGCCCGTGCTTGCCCGGAAGCTGGCTCTCATGTAACTGCCTTGGCTGAAAGTGAATCATCTCCCATCTGGGCAGTTGGAAGATTCTTCTTAGGTGCTTGTTTCACCTGGGGGTGCCACCCGTCTGCACACTGCTTGCCAGCGCTGCCCTCTTGCCAGGTCAGCAGAGGCAACACAAAGTAGGGACTTACTGGGTGCAGGTTTTTTTTAGTAATATATGGGAATTGTGTAGTATGAAAAAGCTCTTCATGAGCCTGGTATTCTATGGTATAGAAACAGTGATGGCAGTGGCTTGCCTCTTGGTCCCAATCCTAAATCATTTTTAAGTTGAAGAAAAACTGTATTTTTTTTTACTATTGCATGAACAAGGGTGTTGCCTGCTGTTAGTTTTCTTTTAAAGAAGGTTTTCTCAGATGAAAGAAGTTTTACAGTTAGCGTTCAATATTTCCAATATGTAGTTTGGCTTCTTTCTGCTGTTTCTCACTTATAATATTATTTTTTATTTGGGACTAGAAAAGATGATATTTATTTGAAAGGCAAAGTTAGAGAGACATGGAGGAGAGAGAGCAAGAGAGAGAGAGAGAGAACTTTTGTCTGCTGGTTCAATTGCCAAAGCGCAGCAACGGCCAGGGCTAGGTTAGGCCAAAACCAGGAACTTCTTCTGGCTTCTTTTAGGTCTCCCACACAGTTGCAAAACTTCTGTTTTCGCATGTACATCAGCAGAAAGTTGTATCAGAACTGGAATAGCTGGGACTTGTGCCAGCACCCACATGGGACACCAGCACTGCAGGTGTCAGTTTAACCCACTGTGCCACAGTGCTGGCCCTGGGATAAATTTTGTATTTACAGAAACCTTGCAGAAATAATACAAGAAGTGCAAAACGTTCTGATTCCAGATTCGTTTTGCTATCTGACATTACAGTGGTACAGACTGAGATCAAATTTTCTGTTTCTCATAGTTTTTTCTCTTACATGTTTAAACCTCCTGCTTCATGCAGCTTTTGACCTGAGAGTTCTTGACAAGAACCCTCAGTCTGTGCCCAGGCCCTCGGCCTCTGGCTGTGGCCAAAGTTGACCAGAGCACTGCAGGTCTTACAGCCAGGTCCACGCTGTCTCCAGGGCTTCCACTCTGTGGCCCTGTGTTCTGCTGACCCAGCACGAGAGGCTCCGCAGTGTATTGCAGGGAATTCTGTGCCACCTTCTGTTGCTGTGCTTAAGCACCTTCCCTGAACAATGTCACCAGCTGCTTCCACGAGGCTCCTGGCTGTGTGCATCTGAGGATGTTGTTGCCAGCAGGCCTCCTCAGCCTTGCCCAGTGCCTGGCTCTTAGTATGCGTGATCACCTGTAGATTACGGAGTTGGAGCTCCTCAAAGATTTACTGATCTGAGGCTCACATGCAGCCTCAGGTGATCCTGATATGCAGTCAAGGTTAAGAACATTTGTCGCTGACCTGCAGCGACACTAACGACGAGGCACACTTTGAGGGTCTGGGAAAAGCCGGAACCGCAGCTGGACCCCTTATTGCCAAAAACGGCTGATTTTATAGCCTTGTGTCCGCTGCTTTTTTTCCCCAAAGGTCTTAGCTTTATTCTGCTGCTTTTGTACTCCTCTCTGCCGCTTTTCCCCTTTCTTGTCCCAGTACTTTTCTCTCCGTAGGTCCTACTGCTTCTGTACCCCTCTCTGCTTTTTCTCCCTGCGCACATTAGCTTTTCCACCCAAAGATCTTAGCTTTCCTACCCCTCTCTGCTGCCCCGTTGTTCTCATTCCATCTTTTGTTCTTCTCCCCATCTTTCTCCTCATCCTCCATCTTAAAGCTTTTAGCAGCTCTTTTATACCGTCCTCCACCAATCACTTCTCCCCGTGGGTCCACTTGGCGCTACCTGATAGGCCAGTAGCAATGACATAATCGCAGCAAGGGCATCAGCCTATCCCTGTGACTTCCTGTTTACCTGCTGGCGAGACCAACCCCGCCTCCTGGCCCTGGGCCAGCCGCCATCTTGCAAAGGCCCTTCCTATTCCTGGGAGTGGCTTCCTCACCCCGCTCCCCACAAACATTGGATTGTAACAATGGACAACAATGTTAGCTGTGTAAGAAAGGGATGAGAACCTAGAGGAATGAGAACTTATAGACATTAAAGGACATTAGAAATAACTGGAGATCCCAAAAGAGAGAGTTGAAAATTGATCAGCATTTCATGTATGAAATGACATGGCCTGGGATGTGTGAAGTGCTGATCATATCTGAGACTGAGACTTGGAAAATGCACCAGTTGGTAGGATGTTGAAGCCTATATATTGGCTGGAAAAGTTGCAAAAACTTAAACACGAGATGTTAGACAGCAATGTGTCAATATACTTAAAGGCCTGGGAATCTATTGGATTTCCCAGTGGATATTGAAATTGTAAATTTCTTCAGCAGTTCTGATAACTCCAATGTTGAAGTTCTCAGTGAATAGGAAATGGTCAGTGCAATGAGAGAGGAAAGGAAAGAAAAGATTTTATAGGCTATCGAATTGGTTGGTTTATGTTTAACTATTAATTCCATGGGAAGTTTATTTTTACATGTGAAATGAAATGCAAAGCTGCTTTTAAAATCCAAGCATTTATGTAACAGCATTGCCAGACTAGTTTATCCTTTATTGCTTTGAAATAACATCAATTTTACATATTAAAGAATCTTGCAAGGAATATTTTACAAGGGGGTGTGCTCCTCGCACCGTGGGTCAAGCCACCGCCATCCCATAAGGGTATTGGTTCAAGTCCCAGCGGCCCCACTTCTGATCCAGGTCTCTGCTGATTGCCTGGGAAAAGCAATGGAAGATGAGCCAAGTGTTTGGATCCCTGCCTCTTGCATG